GTATACACTCTTTGGTAGTATGATTAAGGGTGCTTTTGAGTCACATTATTTTGGAAGAATGTATTTTGGAATAATAGATTGATGGAGAATATATGGTTGAAAAGGAAGGAAAAGTTATTGATGTGATGGAAAATATTATTTTATTGAAGAATGTGTAATTGAAAATGAGTAGAAAAATGAAAATGAAAAAAATAATATGGCTCAAACAGAGGCTAAGCCCATGTTTGGTGGCCATTTTTTAAATATTATTTTGAATAGTTAATTTTTGGAAAATGTGTGGTTAAAAAAGTAGAAAAAAATTTTGCGTTTACGTGTAAAATATTTTATTGTGTGATTTTATGGTTGAAAATGAGTGGGTGAAAAAAAGAGTTTTGAAAGAATAAAAGATATGCGGGGGCTAAATGTTTTCCTCTCCCTATAGTTTGGAGAGTATTTGTGAATTGTATACCATTTTTGCTGTAAAATCTTGGGCAACTTGACCATTGGGTCGAACTAGAGGAACTCGACCAAGTTCAAGTGCGCTCATAAGACAAATAATAGAAGTAGACTAAAGTTATGTTTAATAAAGATGAAAAAAAATTTGCAGGATTTTTAGATAAAACATAAAAATCTTTATTAAAAATAAAGTTTACTCTATTTTTGCCATTTTCTTATAATTTAGACTTGTAACCTATAAAGAAAATTTTGTATAAAATTAAGCTGACAAAGCTTTTTGAGAGTATGTCCTCATTTGATTCACCTAATAAGATTGATTATATCTAAATCATAGTAAATAATTAATATTAATCACACAATTTTTGGGATTCACAACTTTTCTCGTAATATAACAAATTAGCCAAAAAAGATTGCTAATTAAAAACAAACAATGCTAAGAATTGAGAGACAGAGAGAATCATTATGTTTTCTTATATAAATGGGAGAAGATTACAATGTATATATACACAAGAATTACAACAACTTTGTACAGGAGGCAATAAAAAATATGTTAAGTAATTGGCACTGCAACTGAATTTGGTAGCTCCTTTTTTTTCCATTCTAGCATGTTCTACA